CCTTGCCTTGCCCAGGGCCTGGAGCGCACGGCGCGGGAAAGTTTCGGGGGCGGGAACACGGCCTGGGAGGAGGAGAAGCTGGCGAAATATGCCCACAGGTGAGCGGTGGACGTGAGCCTGGCGCCGCCCCGCCTGGGCTCTGGAGCATTGCTGTGGGGCCGGAGGGCGGGTTGGGGAGTATCAGAGGCCACGGGTGCACATGCATGCAGCCAGCCACGGCTCTGGGGCAGAGGCCCCATGCGGGCACCCACCCAGGGCAAGGGGCCAGCTCGGACTGGCATGTCGTGGTGCTGCTCTGAGCCGTCATGGCCTGGAAGAATCCCAAGCACGGCTCCAGGCTGGGGACCGAATGGACGAGTAGCAGTTCGGCAGAAAAGGGCCTGGGGATCACAGAGGATGAGACGCTGGATATGAGTGTGACGGCGCGTCGGGGGCCCCCCACCCTGCACCCCATCCGCAGCGAGATGTGACGCAGCCAGCCAGTCGAGTAGAAGGTTCATTGGTTTCCCAGAGACATGGCCCACAGGAGCCAGGGCAGCCTTATTCCTCTCGGAAAGAGGCTTGCAGGCCTGAACCCCTCTGTCCTGGACTTAGTCTGCTCTCCTCACGCTTTCCTCAGCCCCAGACTGACTCAGCCCCCCGCTCCCCCCCAGCCACCTCCCTTCCTTTGTCTCTCCCTGCCTTATCTGCTCAGGCTGGGACTGGGTGTCTGGGCCAATCCATGTGCGGAGTGAATCATCCGGAATCAAACCACAGCCAGAGAGAGCGCTGGGTTACAAGACAGACAGTACCCCCACTACGTCACAATGAGTCACCAGGGCGCCCTTGTAGCCAAGCAGGCTAATGGCATATTGGGGAGCATTAGGAGGAGCATTGCAGAGAAGTCATTATTCCCCTTTATTCGGCTTTGGGGAGGCCACGTCGAGTATTGCATCCAGGTCTGGGCCCCCACTATAGAAAGGCTGTGGACACATTGGAGAGGGTCCAGTGGAGGGCGACCAAAATGCCGAGGGGGCTGGAGTGCATGAGCTACGAGGAGAGGCTGAGGGATTTGGGTTTGTTCAGTCTGCAGAAGAGAAGAGCGAGGGGGGATTTGAGAGCAGCCTCCAGTTCCCAGAGGAGGCTGGAGAGAGGCTGTTCTCAGTAGTGAGGGATGCAGACCCAGGAGCAATGGGCTCAAGTTGCAGTGGGGGAGGTCTAGGTTGGAGATTAGGAAAAACTATTTCACTAGGCGGGTGGGAAGCGCTGGGCTGGGTTCCCTGGGGAGGGGGGAGTCTCCATCCCTAGAGGTGTTTAAGTCTCGGCTGGACAAAGCCCTGGCCGGGTTGATTTAGTTGGGATTGGTCCTGCCTAGAGCAGGGGGCTGGACTTGATGACCCCTGAGGGCTCTGCCAGCTCTAGGATTCTAGGATGCTGTGAGTCTGCAGCTCCTTCCCCCAGAACCCTT